AAAAAAAAAAAAAAAAAAAAAAAACAGTAACCTAAGACTGTCTAAACAAATAAAGGTCCCAGCTTTTCAACACTCATAGATAACATAATTCAGCCTGCAAAATAAAAATAAAAAAAAATTCACAAGATTATCATATACAACAGTATATAAATATATTTACACAAGGCCCATAAGTATGTAAGTGAAAAGAAAAATGATACACACAAAATCTTTGAGACCAGTACAGCACACGCAGATTCTAGAGACTCATGACAATGTTATTTTATGTGGTAAGAAAGGGTTAATAATCGTCGGATTATCATATAACCGTCGGGGATAGTTGATCTGATGGTTACTAATCCCGACGGAACTGTAAGAGACTCGTTCAGCAAGGAAAGAACCAATTTTTTGGGGCAGAGCAAGAATGTTTACAAGCAAGTGATGAAAACCCTCATCTTTTTTGTTATTTCATGTGGGTGAACCAAAAGACAAAATGAAAAAAATACAGAAATTTGGTGAACGTTTTCCAAGGTGGGCACCAGCTAAAAATTCAAGAAAGTAGAAACTAAGGGCAAGAAGATTGTGAATCCGAAAAAGATTTCCCAAATTAAAGAGAAAAATCGAAGTCCCAGGTGAAAAAAATCTCTTGGGGTTGGAATAAATTGAACAAAATCAGATCTTTATACGGCCACAGTCTGGATGAACAGTAGATAACGAAATAGCAAGAACTCAGTAGAAAAATTTCTGGAACAGATTTATTTTTTTTTTAGTGAAAAAATAAATATTATATTAAAAAAAAAAAACAGCTTCAATCCAATCAAAAAATTTTAAGCAATTAAGAATTTGAAGAATCTTGAACTCGCTTGATTCAAAAACCCAAACAGAAAAAATCTGCAAAAAAAAAAAATAAAATAAAATAAAAAGGGAGAAAGAGAAGGCAGAATAACCCATGAACCATACCAACATAAAGACTTGTTTAAGCTTCAGAGTTGAGAGTCTCACTGGATGAGAAAACACTGAAAAAAATAAAAAAAAAAATAAAAATAATAAAAACGAAAAGAGAGAGAGAGAGAGAGAGAGAGAGAGAGAGAAAGAGAGTAATTACTACTTATACATGAAATGGTGGGTGTATCAGTATCAGGTTCTTCTTCTCTGTAAATTGGCGTGATGAGAGAAGAAAATAACAAAGATATTTGTATGAAACAAATTAAATACTCGAGAATGAGACAACTAATAATAAATAATGTAAGTATATGTTAGGGCAGTAATGCTCGGCCACGTGTTAATATGTCCACTTCTTATATGACATGCATATATTAGTGACGTATTTATTTTTAACATATTAATATCACCAATGTGTGCATGCTACATAAACGATGGACATATCAATATGTGTCTACCGTGGAAAGGGGAAACGGGAAGAGTGTCTCTACAACTACAAAGCTGTCCTGTCTTGTACCTACTTACATGGACTTTCTTTTCCTCCATTCTTTAATTAATTAATTAAAATACTCTACTGCATTCTTTATTGTTGATTTTTCCTTTAAAAACAAAAAAACAAAAACAAAACAAATTGCTCCCATAATGCGTGTGGTGGACGTTAATCTCGAGTTTACCCTCGCCTTGTTGGTGATATTACCGAAAACCGTGACGCTCCTTCTACTCCCTAACACTAGGCGACAATAAAATAATAGTATAACGAGGATCATGGAGTGATTCGGGTCGGATTTGATGCGAGGTGACTAAGAGTATGTTTGTTTATAAAAATTTAAAAAAAAAGTTATTATTTTAATTTAATTAATTTTTTTAATTCAATTTTAATTTAATTTTAATATTATTAATATAATTAAATAATATCAATAATTATTCATACACACCTAATCAACTTTAATTCACTATTCATTCCCTCACAATATTTTAACTAACCATCACATCAAATCATATATTTTCTACTTTTACATTAAATCAATTTTAATTATTTTATTTTAAATATTATTTTAAAATATCAACTACCAATTAACCATACCACTTTTTTTCAAAACTAACCAAACTAAACCAAAAAATCTAACTGTAGACATCGAAATTTTAATATTTTATTAATTAATGTCTTTATTTATTTTTTGACATAAATTCATGATAAATAAGATATTTAATTAATAAAGTTATTATTTTTTCCCACCAAGTCAAATCTTAGGATAAAAAAATATATTATATCAAATCAAGAAGGACCAATCAAATTGATATCTTCTTTTTCAAAACTCTCTCTCCTACACCTATAAATAGGGTTCTCCTCAATGCCACAAATCACATTTCAAACACCTCAAAAATATCAAACACATCTCAAATATTAAAGTCTCAAATTCAAGAGTTCTAAGAACCCTCTTGAAAATTTGAAGAAGTTCTTGAACCGCCCGAAGTCCATTCAATGAAGAAGAAGGCCAAGAAGAAGAAAAAGAGGCAGCGGGTCTTTCTCAAGAAGTAAAGAGACGACTTTCACGCTTCTCAAGTCAATCCAAGAATATTAACGACGTTCAAGCGACATTCAAGCCGCGCTCGTTGAGAAGTTCAACCAACATAGCGTTTGATCTGAGAAAAAGCTATCAAGCCCCTGAATCAACGTTATTCAAATCAGAGTCCCTCTTTCAAGAAGATCAAAGAATCAAGTATTCCAAAAAGTCATATTCAATCAAGTCAAGGCCTAACATTTAATACGGGAATAAGTCATTCGACCCCCAAATTAATGTTAGAGAAATTCAAGACCAAGCCCGAAGGAGACCCATTCGTCAAATCCATCTTTGAAGGTCTCAATCCCAAATTCATGAAGAGAAGAATCAGAGGAGATAAATAGAGATTGTACACGCATATCGTTTGATCGAAATAAAATCAAGTTGTACAAAAGTTTTATGTCTTTCATAAAATTTGTTATTACACTAACAAAACAAAAAATTTCTATAAACAAACATGCTCTAAGGTATTGATGGGGCCGGGTGGAAAGACGACCCCAAGTGCATTCTTGGTTGGGAACTGTAGCGGTGTGAGACATGGCTCGAGAGTTAGGTGGGTGTAGTTAGCCAACTCTTTCGGGAGAAGAGAGTTTCGAAATCAGCTCCTCGAACTATTGTTTTAATTGCTTTGGTTTCTCTAGTTAGGTGTCTGGAGAAGGGCTCTTGTTTGTTTAGTTTTTTTCGTTAGTTGTGTTGTTTATGTTATGTTGTTTAGTTCGTGTTTATTTTCTTCTCTCCCGTTGAGAGTGTGTTTGGTGTATTCTCTTGTTGGGAGTTTTCTTTTTTTTTTTTTCTCCTTTTGAGAGTTCTTTAGTTGTGTTTGATGTAGTAGGTTGACTATAGGTTGCCATATGTCTGCACGTGTAGTCCTATATACTAGGGTCAACTATTCAACTTATTCAGTTGTATATTCTGCCGAGTAGATGTTCTCTGGTCTCGTTTCAGTTATTATTATATGAGATTTCTATCGTTCTGGGAAAAAAATGAAGATCGTGAAGGTGTAGATTGGTTATAAATTATCTCATCACATAATTTTTTTAATTCAAATCTAACTCAATTCAACGTTCTTAAATATTATTAGTATATATAAATAATACTAATTAAATATCTTTATAAATTATATTAACTTTAATTTACTATTTGTTCATTCACATAATTATTCATTTCTTCCAATTAATTTTCTCATACTTTTATATCAAATCAAATTTAATCATTATATTTTATATATTTTTTTAATACAAACTCATAATTTAACTCAAATATGACTCAATCAACTTTTTCAAGATTAATTATGGTTATCCAACAAATTCAATCAAATCTAATTAAATAGTTTGGATTTACACGTGAAATATTCTCTATTAAACCTGCCAACAGTATACTTCACTCCACTAACTACTTAATTTCTTTTGGCCAAACTAATTGACTTGAAAATCTCTCTTGGATCCCCCATAGGCTAGACAATACTTATGTCAAGTGTTCATCAATTATAAAAGAAAAGTAGACTCTAAACTTATTACTGCATTGTAAAAACACACATTTCTAAGCTTAGATTCATAATCTATGGAAAAATAAAAATAGAGAAACACAAAAAATACTTAGAGTAAACAATATAACTCAATGACCTCTGTACTCTCAACCTAACTTTTCCTCTCGAAGAATATAGTTTGAAAGCTTCTTATAGTCAAGTTGCTATTCGTGAACATATAATAAAAGATTTCTTAGTTGCAAATATTTTTTTGATACTCCATATCATCAAAATCTTCTTAATGATTGTGTTTCATTTAGTATGAATCTTCAATGGTACGAAAAATGATAAAACACATAAACTTTTCAAAATTGATGTAAAAACACATTTTTCCTTACGTGAGGTATTCTCTGAGTCTGACTAAATTTTCAGCCTATCTTTAGTAATTATCCTTCAAAACAATACAAAACACCTCAAATTCCTATAATCTCATGTATATCTCCTTCTCTAGTCAATATCTACCTTATAGAAATGATTCCCACACATGTAAGTAAACCTTGTAAGATTATATATAAAGTATAAATCGTGTCAACCTTTTTTTTTAGAAAACACGACCTAGGGGGAGGGGGGTTAAGGCCGAATCTCCAACCTTTGTATAGTGAAGAAAAATCACAAGTCTATACAAATCCAACCAAATCCCGAAAGAAAAAAACAAAAAAAAACCAAAAAAAAAATGAGAAAAAGAAAAAGACAACAACAAACAAAAATGAAAAGTTTGAACCTGGGACAACAGATGACCATGCAATCTGCTCTACAAAGTGGGTCCAAGTACAAAACTACAAAAATACAACAAGACTATTATAATATAAAGGAATGGTAGCCCATTTGGTCCACCTTCGCAAGAGTGCGAAGGTGGAGAGAGGTATTATCTAGGTGGAATGTGTGCCTCAATGGGGTGGTGGAACCTAAGCTGACAAGGTAATCAGCAGGTCGGTCCCTCGTGGAAGATTTGCGGGATCGAGTTTCAGCCAAACAACGGCTCTGGAGAGTGGGTGTTGAATAGGCTACAGCGGAGATGGTACAAATTCGGTGGGGCGACGTGCAACCTGTCCAACATCTATATGTGAATCTGCCCATAGCTGTGAGGAGAGAGAGATGACGATCAACCTGCAAAACAATGTGAGAGCACAAAAAAGTAATATCCCTATGCTTCGCATTATCCTTTTTGTCCAAATGAACCACAATATCAGATAAGGAATGAGGAAACCCACATGTCCAAAGTCTTGCCTATCCCGCGTAACAAATGTGCCCTTATTGTTTTAATACATACAGTTTTTAGTCGGATATATCATCTCAAAATTGTCCAGAAAAAAATTTGAAGACAAATTTATAAGAAATAATGAAAGTAGATATTTAGTTCCAGCATTAAGAATGTTGAGTTTTATTTACAAGTCCACAAAAGGTCATGGTTTTATGTGAAATTAGGCTTTTTTTAACTATTTATTTGAAGATACATGAAATGGTTTCTGTAAAGTATCATTCAAAGAAAACGAAAAGGACGATAATGTCATTGTTTCTAGTAGGCTTGTCAAAATGACTCTAAGCACGCGTGTTGTGCTGCTCTGCCTAATAGGCAGATTGGGCTGTTGCGGGCACGAATTTTGGCGGGTCGGGCCAGGTGGGCCAGCCTGTCGTAAAAAAAAAACATTTTACATTGTAACATTAATGCGCGACTCTGACTATAGTTCTTTTCTCACACATCTCTGCTTCTTAGTTCTCTCATAGTCAAAACAAAAGAGAAGGTGAAGTAAACCTTAATCTCTCAACTCTCAAGCCTCTAGAGGTGTTGTTCAGCTGGCGGGATCCACGGGTGACGGGGATATTCTTGTGTTTGGTGGCGTCGTTGATGTTCTATGTGATGCCGTTAAAGGCGTTTGTGTTTGGGTCGGGGTTCTATTACCTCCGTCACCCGAGGTTTAGGGGCGAACTTCCATTGGTGCCAATGAACTTTTTCTCGGAGGCTGCCGCCGCAGTCCAATCGGATTCTCGGGGGTGTATTCAGTTGTATTTTGAGTGATATTTTATAAGACTTTTAAATATTTTCAGATTTTGGAGGAATTCCGTGAAATCTTATGGGATGCATTCAATTGAGATTTTTAAGTGACATTTTAAGACTTTTCAAAATTTTCAGATTTTGGAGGAACTCTATTATATCTTAAGTCTAGGGGTGGAATTTGAAGTGAGATTTCGTATAAGGTTTTTTGTTTAAAAATCCTACAAAATCTTTGATATAGCATATCTGAGTTTTGGTCCCCCTCAGGCCCGGACATCGCTACTTTCCTTGATTGGCCTCACTTCGGTCAGAGTTCAACCCATGCCTCTCGCTTTGCTTCGCGCTAGCTTGTCTCACTGAAACCCTACTATCGTAGTCCGGTTCAAATGATAGTTACTCAATCGAATGAACATCAAAGACGACATCGGCAAGTCGACGCCCCCGAAGTCGACTTGGTTCATGAGCTATCCAAGGATCGCTGCTAACCCGACAACGACGATCTAGACGATTCTCTTAAGTCGATTGGTGATAAGTCGACTTAACTCAAGAAGACGAGCGAGTGCAACAGCCTCTAGATGCACATAAGACCAAGACTCGACAATACCCGAAGTCGACTTATAATGCCTCGAGGCACCAAAACCTCCGACGACTTCTATACACTTTAACATATCATAGGGAGACCTCTCA